GGATAGATTATATAGGTATTTTAAAACCTCAAATAATTTTAAAACTATAAGCAATAGTCTTATTCTTATCAGAAATATTAGTATTGTTATTTTGAAACTGCTATAAGCGTGCTGCATAAAGAAAACAGAAACTACTTTCTTCACCATCAGTGTTCCCCAGTTTAGCTCTGGTTGAGAGCAGTGGTAGGATTCTTGCCTTCAATGCAGGAGACCTGGGTTTGAGTCCCAGCCAATGCACCTCAAGCACAGCCACCACCCATCTGTCAGTGGAGGCTTGTGTGTTGCTGTGATGCTGAACAGGTTTCAGTAGAACTTCTAGACTCGGAAGAAAAGCCTGTTGATTTACTTCTAAAAATCAGCCATTGAAAACCCTGTGGATCACAATGGTCTGATCCCGTTGTACATGGGGTCATCAAGCATTGAGGACCAACTCAACGGCAGTTAATAATACCACCACCACCCACACCAGATTGGTCTAAGCCCCTCAGTCCTTGATGGCAGTGGGTAGGACCCTTGCTTCCTTGTTCTTGCACTCCCAGTGTCTGCTCTCAATGAACATCTGTTTATTAAAATGAAGTTCAAGCCACCAGGATTCTAGTCAAGTCCCCCCAGCTCATAGTCTATCCCATATGAGATAGGCATCCAGAGACGTTGTCATCTGTCCTCGATGCTTCTTCTCATCTTTGTCATGGCCCTGCCCAGCACTCTGAATGTCAGTTCATGAAGCATCAGGCAGCAAAGTGTGCCCTGTGGGTGCACCAATGCTCACCCCTTCGGATGCTGTGCCTTAAGCCCACTGCTCTTGCCCCATTTGCCATTCAACCGCCATTTACTTTTACAAAGGAATTCTTACATCTACTATTTCACTGAATCCTCCCCTGAACTCTACTTCATAGCTCCACTTTACAGGTAAGGAAACTGAGGCTCAACGAGCTTAAGCCACTTGCCAAGGGCCCTCTTTGGACAGACAGGGGTTCAAATTCACTATTAGTCATGTCTTGGGTGAATCATTGATTCATTCATGTACTCATTCAAAAAAACATTTATTGAAAGTGTGAGGCACTGTGTGGGGTGCTGGGAATCTGAGGTGAGTAGAGAACACAGATCTTCTTCTGCAGGGCTTGCTGCAGCTGCATTTCCCATCCATCAAGATGGGGCTTATATCTGCCTCTACCTCAGAGAATTACTTGGAGATTGAAATAAAACCTGTATTATAGTATTACCGTATGTGTGTGTGTATACATATACATATATATATAGTATTACTAGTAGAGGGTCGCTATGAGTCAAAATTGACTCGAAGGCAACGAATTTAGTATAGTTTCCACCAACAGTCTAGATGAATCTTCAGGATACCCAGGGTACTTCTTGATACTGCCTGAGCAGTTTATCCACAGCCCCTGGTAAAACATTGCTTCTTCCTTGAACAAGTAGGTCAAGAGGTGTTTCTAAAGCACTAGCAAAGGAGTCCCCTAAGTGTGAGACATTGCCAGGAATGTGTGCCAATCATCCATGGGTTCCAGGTAAATCTGGCAGCCCCGGTGAGTCCTCTCAGAGAGTGATCCATCTTATGATGTATCCGAAACCACTAGTCTTGAGTGATTTCAAATGCGTGAGCTTTCAAGACAGACTTGACTAGCCAGTGACTCTGAGCAAGCTACTTAAGTAAAGAATAATAATAGGAGTAACGTCATAGGATTGGGAAAATTAAAAGAAGTGATGTATATGAAATGCTTAAAACAGAACCTAAGTCATAGTAAAGGCTTAGTAGGCAGGCCCTATAATAAGCACAGGCCATGGGGTTTCTTACTCTACTGACATAAGTGTACCTCCTAGAACATCCTACACTGCCAATGGTGCTCGGGTTGAAGAGGCAGATGTGGGTTTACACCAGTCCCTAGCCCTCAAAGCTTCGGTGCAAATCTCCCTCTGCAGAGCTAGGCTCCAAGGAGTCCAGCTGGGTGCATCTGGCTGGGGAGATTAAATTATTTTTGAATTCCTAACTGAATGTTCTTTTAATGGAAACTTAATGACAGGCATTGAAATAGATTTCCTCTCTAAGTCCTCCTCCCGCCTGCATCCCCCCCCCACCCCCCACAGCTCTGTGTTGCCGCAGTCCCTGATAACCTTTATTCCCTACCCCTGGACTTTTATCTCCCCAGTGACAAACAGCCTTTGCTGGACAGAAAGAGGAAATTCCAGTCATTGTTCTCAAACTTCTGGCTTCCAAAATAAAATGCTCTATCTCCCCTGTCAAGCTTTGATTGACATGTACTTCCTGTAATGGCAGACAACAACGGCCACGGGGTGGGGCCAGGGGTTCATTTGCATTCTTTCCATCAGTGGTTTTCAAAATTTTCGTTCTAGACAGGCAAAGATGCCCCATGCGATTCACAAACACAGAGATGAGGACCCATCTCCCGTTTTATGAAAGGTCTCTTAGAAAGGTGCCTCCAGCAAGTCTCAACCTTCCCTGCATGCACTCAGATGTTCTCCTTTCTGCTCTGTGACACAGGCATCAGTGATGGAGAAGAACAGAAACCCCTATCATCTTACTTCTTAGGTCTGGCAACTCAGAAAGGATCTTTCCCGTCTACCCTTCCTCTCTTTAGGAATAAATAATTATTAGACGCTTAGCCCATCTTCTTAAAGACAGTCTCCCAAATCTTAAATCTAGATGCTGGAGCTTGAGCCAACCTGAGTTCCAGAATGTGAAACCAGGGCAGACTCTCCAGGTCCAAACGCCCACAGCAGCAGAGATAAACTGGGCAACTCAGGGGAGGGAGGCAGCAACAAAGAAAATATTGACTACGCTAATGCCTCATGGCATGCAGTTTTTCTTGCAAGGAATCAGAAGTATTGAAGTGCACTTAAAATAGAGAAATCAGTAAATATAACAATGTGGCATATCTGTAGCAATAGCAGTAACGATGTGGTCAGATCCTAATGGGAAAAATGTCACTACATTGGAATGAAAAGGCTGCCTTCAAAATAATTTTTAAAAGTCCCTGGGCACTAGCATTAACCTATAAGCAAATTGGCCTTCTGGACCCTTCTATTTCTCACTTATTTTCTTTACCCACTGTGCTCCTATGCATTTCATGACCCCCTCTCTCCAAATGTCCAGGTTCTTACGTTGCTTCTGGATTCCAACCACTCGTTCCCAAAAAAAAAAATAAAATAAACACAAACCAGTTGCTGTGGAGTCTATTCCGACTCCTGGTGACCCCACATATGTCAAAGTAGAACTGTGCTCCATAGGATTTTCATGCTTGTGATCTTTCAGAAGCAGATCACTAGGCTTTTCTTCCAAGGCAACTGTGGGTGTTTTCAAACCACCAACCTTTCAATTAATAGCCAAGCACTTAGCCATTTCCATCACTCAGGTGCTAGCCACCTCTTAGAACTACCAAGTTACCTGTCCTGGGTCTTGTTTTCTAGAGCTTTATTGAATATAAGTTAGTTAATTGTTGCTAAAGGTTCAATGGGAATTTGTATTGAAAAGGAGACTCCAAGTGTCAGGGTGCCTTGATCCTAATAAATGAATATTTGGAAGCAAACAGGCTTTCACTGAATAACCCATAAAGAAATAGCTATCAGAAAGATTCTAGTTGTTGTTCAGCTCTCTTAACAATCAAAAGGAATAGATTACTTATGATCATTTCCAGCCATCACTAAGCATACTGCCAACAAGCCAGAAAACAGACCTGAAGGATGTGTCCGGATGTGAATGACCTGAATCAATACATTCTCCCTCTAATTTATAAAGGGGACCCCAGAGTCATAAAAGCTCATGAAAACGGTTCATCAGAGAATTCTAGCTCCCATAGACTTGACGTACTACTTGATTTCCTTTAGTGTTGTCAGGAGATTAAAGTGTGGTGCCACCATGCAGAAGAGCACAGAGTGACCTCTCATGTGGACCAGTTGCGGTCCACTGGTTATGGACACTGACAAAGTGTTTGTCCCCAAATCCTTCAGACTTCCCACAGGACTTATATGAATCCCTACAAGTTCATCCCTCCCAACAATTGCTCACAGCTGCCACCATAGTGCCATGACTCTCCCTGGAGTGATTTGACGGGGATGGATAGGAAGGGGCATATCCGCAGCAAAGGTCATTTCCTCCTGAGGAAGCTGCAGTAAAGATAACACATGTGTTCTATCTGCCATCTTCTTGCTCCTTCGCCCCCTTCCAGGAGAAAGTCCACCCTCACGAGAGAATCTCCACAGCCACTCTGTCACAATGGATGCACAATAGCCGACACTTTTGAAAGAGCATGCACAGTTTCAGAGATTTAATATCTTAACACACTGAAAACATTTGATTCCTAAGCAGCTTTGAGTACCATCCTTCCCAGGATACATTCACAATACACAGGTGGGGAGTTGAACGAGACATTCACAGTAAAGCCTTCCCCTAAAAGAACATCCTTGTTTCACGTGGGTCCCTTTTAGGAAGATGTGGCGCTGGCCCTCAGAGAGAGGGAAAAACTTAGCGTTTCCTCACTGTGGGGTCACATCCCATTCTTTTTCCTTTCACACTTTGCCTTTAGAAAAAGCATTTCAGTACACACCCTAGGCAGAGAAACACGAGAACCTTTTTTTCTCAGAATTATTCATGGCACTTTCCTTTCTAGACTGACTTGGCACCTTCAGTCTCTTCATTGCTTTCTTGGAAGAGCAGGAGATACTCTTTTAACAGATTTGTAGCTCCTAATCTCTTCCAATACAGCACTGTTCTTAAAATTCACCACCTTTTTCAAGTCCAGGATTCTGTCTTGCAGGACGATGTGCCTTGAGAGTCTAGAGTGCAGAATTAGCCTCTGTCTAAACACACCATGTGAGATAATTTGGAACAAACATGGGTCTGAGTATCTGGATATGCATACAGCTGGTGTGGACATCAGCAGTAAGCCCATGGGCTGTGTCCCCCTTGCTCTTCCTAAAACACAGTGTGACCTCGACTAGGATGAAGGCTCTAACCACCAAAGCCTGAGAAGGTTAGAGCCACACAATTGTTCTTAGATTGTTTATTCTTTTTTTCTTATTTTCTTTGCTTAGTTAGTTCATCTCCCCCAACTCAGGAGACGTTTCTCCTGACAAAAGTCAATGTTAAAATGGAAACAGCTTCTTTCTTATCACTAGAATCAAATGAAAACTTTTTTTTCCCCTGCTCCCATCTAAAGCTCATAAGTTCTTCAAAGAGATTTTAAAAGGTCTTGTTTGGCCTGTACATAAGACTTTTGATGATTTTGTCTGTTCCCATCAACACTGCATGACCTCATATAATCATATTCAAGATTTCAAGTGAGCTCCTGTGGCTTCCATATTCCATCCTCATATAAATACACGGTCTGTTTCAATATAGTTGCCTTGGAGAGCAATGCGTCTCATAAGATCACAGTTATGAGGTTCAGAGGGTCATCGTACTGAAAGACTTTGAAGGCTCCTGTCCTACTTTCATCCACCCAAATTGTTGATTGCTTTATAAGGTTTCTAATTTACTAGGCATCTTAGAGACTTTCCTTTATTCGTGTTGAAAAGGCACAGTTACATTTTGGTGTCATCTGTTTCATTGACTTCTGATAAGATAAAGCTGGGGTTATCATAGCCTCTCTTCATCCTGGCTCTAGCATCTTTCTCATTATAGAGGCACATGGCACAGTGAGGGGTCTCCACTTCTACTGTCTTGCTAAAGTTATGGAAATCTACTCGGTATTTCCCTTCCTTGGTCTTGGACACTATGGGAGCAAAACGGTAGCCCCAAAGCACCTCCTCTGGGACATAGGATGTCCGGACCTGGCAGGTAGCACTAGTTGATTCTACTGTGCCATCTAAAAACATCACTAATTCAAAGTCCTGCTGGGGAAGTGTTTCTGCTGCCATGTCGAAAAAAGGGCTGTTGTGATCAATGACATGGTAAATTGTCAGTGGGGAGATGAAGAATAAATTTTCATTACCAGCATCTACCACAAAATTGATATTGATCTGGTCCAAAATAATGGTCTCTCCCTCAGGAGTGACTGTGGTCTTCAGAAGCTTTCCATATATGTGGCTGCTTATAAGGAGGCTCTTCCTAAGATTAGCTACTCGGATGAGGAGACAGAGCTTCCCACCCCGCTTGCTGATCACTGCATTCTTGCTGAAGGTAACAGTCTTTGCACGTTTCTTGGGTCTGGAGATCTTGGCTAAAATGGCACCACACATGAAAGAATTGATGATGACTCCAAGGATAGACTGGAAGACAAGTAGAAAAATGGCAGTGCCACATTGTTCTGTCACACACCTGAATCCATATCCAATGGTCACTTGAGTTTCCAGAGAAAACAGAAAAGCTGAAGTCAAGCCGTTGATGTTGTCCACACACGGTGTGTGGTTGACAGAAGGATGAAACTCTGGAAGATCTTTGTGAACGTAGGCTACTGCATACCACAGAAGACCAAAGAGGAACCAGCTCCCCAAGAAGGCAGTGATGAAAATGGTCATCTTGTATCTCCATTTGAGGTCAAGCACAGTTGTCCAGATGTCCATGAAGAATATAAACCTCCATTGTGGCTCCACATTGCCAAACTCTATGTTGCACCTTCCATCTTTGGAGACCAGCCTTGCTTTCCGCCTGGAATGCTGGAAAAAGCGAGTGACAAACCATTTCCGAAGATACATGAACATCCTTTCTGCCAACACTCCAATCTGAAAACATATCAAAAGAAAAAGAAACATGTTTATAAAGCAGCAGTGAACTAGGTGACTCACGTAAATATCTAACTACATAAGAAAAGATAATTTTAAAATATATGGATTGCTGATACGTAAGGCAAGATGACAAGTCTATTCTGGCTACGAAAATGCCATTTCCAATGGAAACTTTCCACTGGAAGACCATATTGCTTAAGTATAAAGAGGCAAAATAATTACAGAGATAGAAATGGAAGGAACCTAAAAGATGACATATTCAAGTGGTTCTTGACCTCAGTCGGTCTCACACAACCTTAAAAATGTTTGTAATAACCAGTTGTGATGTGTACTACTATTTACTTGATATTATTCTTTAAATCACCTCCTCTTTTTTTTTTTTTTAAATAAGTTTAACTTTATGCTAAGCAATAATACCTGTGAGAGCATAAGCTTGATGCACCATTTACATTTTTGGTAATACATAATAAAATAAATAACTATGAAAAAAGAAACGCTTATCGATATACCACCTAAATCATCTTGTGTAGTGTTTTTGGTACTTATACACTAAGAGAAATTTCAATCTAATTCAATTGTCTCATTTATCAGGTGGGGAAACCGAGACTTGGAAAATATAAAAGACTATCAAAAATCAGGTTTCTAACCAGTGGCAGAGGACCCTGGGGGTGTAGTGGTTAAAGTGCTCGGCTGCTAACCAAAAGGTCTGCATTTCAAACCCACCAGCTGCTCTCTGGGAGAAAGATGTGGCTCTCTGCTTCTGTAAAGATTACAGCCTTAGAAATCCTATGGGGCAGTTCTACTCTGTCCTATAGGGTCTGTATTAGTCATAATCAACTGGATGCCAACGGGTGGTTGGTTTTGTAAATAATCAGTGACCAGATGGCAATTAGAGCATAAGGCACCCTGCTTCTAGTCCAGTGAAATCTCTGTCACACTGCATCTCACTTATCAACTTTTCAATTTTAAAGGTAGATTCACCTAAAACATTTTAAGACAAGTATTTGTCAAATTCCTTTTTTTAATGCTTGGCACTATTTAGAACAAAGTTCCTCAGTACTGTTTGGACAAGTCCCACCAGATGATCTCAGAGGCTTTCTCAGTGGGTCTACAAGCCTGTTCCTACTCTCTGTCCATGATTTGCCAACATTCCCAAGAGAAATAGTAATGATCACCATCAATCTGTTACGCTTCCTTCTCTCCTACTGTGTGAAGGACTCCGGAAGCACTGATTCAAATAATAATCCTTAAAGGTACGAACAATGTTTTATTCATTTGTACATTCCTAGCTGCTAACACAATCTAGAGGTGTTTGCTATATATCCAGCAAATATTAATGGAATAATTCAGTGAATGAATTAAGCTCTTCAAAATCTATCTAATCAATAATTTCTTATTGATGACATTATTGGGACTTCCATTTTACAGCAAAAACAAACAAACAAAAAGTGCAGAGACTTTCCCCCAAACAGCCAACAATGATGAAACCAAGGGGTCATAAATATAGACTACCTCGTCCCCTATGCTGAAGAAAACTCAAGGTGTGCCCTCCATGGTTAGCAATGTCTTCGTGATATTTTTAATTAAATGCAAATATGTTTTTAAAATAGATTTCAAAATTCCCCTTCAAAAATGTGTTTATTTGTAAAAACTAGGAAGCGAAACTGACAGTGATAAATTTTCAACAAGGATGATATTCAACAATGTCTTTTCCATGGCCTGAACCAGGTGAAAACACAAGATGCCAACACCAGGTAGAAGACAGCTGTGGTGATTTGAAATTTCAAGGCTAGGGTCTAAAGATATAAAGAAAAAGAAAAAGAAAGAAAGAAAGTGCTACCAGGAAAGCAAACGGCAGTTTGCACACTCAGAGGGCCCTGCCCTCATCCCACCCAACCCACACTGACCTCAAGTCCCCCAAGGGGACTTAGGGGCTGGTCCCAAGTGAGGCACACAGAGGGGGAAATAGTAACTCCTTCCCCAATCTCTCCTCTTCCCACGCATACACATCTCTTAACATTAAATACATCCATCAAGGATGCATTGCCTTTCTCAGGTGTGTTGAATCTCATTCTGTTTAAAAAGCTCTTCATACAGTGTCTCTTGTGTTAAATAATCAATTATAAAACCAACATTTATCAGTTGAATCCCATATTCTGTTCGTGATACATCGTCATTTCAGAGATGACTCCTAACACATAAACTTGTGAGATTTTCTTTCCCACAGCTTTTCTCTCCTCCAGCCTCTCTTACATTCATTTCATTTTTAAGGGTAAAGAATATTTCTTAGAGTGGATAATTACTCCCTGATTTATTTCTTGGATAAGTTTGGGTTTCCATGACTGCACTGATAGCAAAATAGTACTTGCCTGGTCTTGCAAAGAGGTGAAACAAAAGCAATCTACAATAGTTTCCCCAGATTGTCTGCACTTACCAAAACATATTCCCCTTCTGATCTGAAGCATCCATGGCTGGGAAAAGCAAGGAAGCGGTGCTTGGATTTGGTCTCTGGATGCAGGCTGATTTCCTGTTGACCCAGTCTAATTCATTTTAGGCTTCAATCAGTGGACTGATGCTATTTTGTATTAGTTTGAAAACTCTTAATTTGATAGTGTAGTTGGTTTAAACAAGGCAATTGTTTGTTCTCAGACCAAGCCCCAATCTGGGTATGTTTTTTTTTTTCCCCCTAAAACTCACATAGCTTGAATACCATCATGCTAAGACATGACACACCACCAGTTAAGATCCCCAAGCAGCAGGCATGGCCGGTGTTCCAGCATTTCACTCCTCTCCTTTGCCACGCTCTACAGCTCTCTTGCTGTTTCTCCTAAGTCATGCCCAATAACGTTTGACCAGAAACTATCTCTATTCTCTGAAACACAGAGATATTAAGTTTTCAAACTGCTCAAAAAGATACAGGTGAATATGTTGTTGTTGTTGGGTTCCATTGAGTCGATTTTGACTCATAGCAACTGCATGTGACAGAGTAGAACTGCCCCATAGGGTTTTCTAGGCTGTAGTCTTTATATATAGGCATAGAGTATTTATATATTTGTAAGATGAAAGAAAGATCACACCAGGAAGGAACAAGATACCATGTTAATCTCTGTATACAATAGTCACTGTTATGTAAGAAACTGAGATTTAAAAGAAGTCCTTATTGTTGAATTTATTCTGTAAAATCTGACATTTACTAAAGGTACTTTTTACATGTACTGGGTTAGCCAGTGCTTTTTATTTGTATATTCAAATGGTGAGAAGAATTATACCCAGAGAATACAAGGATACAGGATAAATCCATCCTCTGACCAAGCCCATCACTGACACAGCAGACCTATTATGCACAGATCCTGCTTTGCCTGGACGGTGGCATTCAATCTAACCGGAGACAGAGCCAATATGTATTTTATGAGCTCTTGGGCAATTACAGACTGCTCCTGGGGTCTGGGTTATGTAACATGCCATTTTTAGGTTCCCTTCTGTGGAAATCAATAAATCTTAATAGCAAGCAAAGGCTGTACATTAGCTAATATTTACCAAGGTATTCTTAGTGGCCTGGCAAGGTAAGTGGATCACATTAGTGCCATTTTCTTTTCTTCAGTGCTCCAGCATTCTTGTTCTATAAACAATCCTTTCCTAGGAAATAGACTTTTTGTAAGTTTTTCAAACGTATATTGAATGCTCACCTTATGGGATCATGAAGACTAATAAAACCTTGCTCCTGTTCTCAGGGAGCTCACAGTCTAATGGGGGAAGTGAGTGAAGTAAATCAGCAGTTACAATGTAGTGTAGTTTGCATAATTCTAAAAAAATCATCTTTTCTAAAATATCCTTGTTAGATAGAGGGTGACCACCCTCTGCTAAAATTCTTTAAGTGATAGAGAACTCACTGCATTTATTTATACACTATTTATTTATCACTATTCAACACATATTCACTGAGTCACGACACATCGTCCTGGACACAGTCCTTGTCATTGTGAAACTCTCAGGTGAGGGTGGGGTAGAGGATACAAACAAAGCATAAACAGTCAAGTGCAATGTGATAGGTGCCCTGATGTGAGACAGTGAGAGCACTCAGGGGGAGCATGTCATCTGAGACTCAGAGGAAGTGACATCAGAGCTCAGACCTGAAGACAGAGTTAGAGTCACACACATAGTAGGAACTCAGTGAACATTTTTAAATGATGACAAATAAGTTAGTCAATGTATGCGTAACAGCAATCACTTTGCCGTCATAAAAGCAATAAGTTAAGCTTAACAGACGGTGGCTCCCCATCTAGTAGAGATATTTTAGAAGGGAAGTTGCTAACCACACTGCATTGCAATTGTATTTGTGATCCAGGCAGGGGCAGCAGAAGAAAGAGAACACAGAGGGAAGATAATAGAGTACTGGGACGCCTTGGGAAAAAATTAGGCTGGGAAGGCAGCAAGGGCCAAATCACTCAATGCATGGTATGCTATTTGAAATATTTTTGTTGTAAGCCTGTCTTGCTCAGGCTTCTCTAAAGAAACACAACCAAGTGAGACTTTTTCAGGCTTTTGCCCCAAGATCCATAGGTTAGGTTAGGTGACATAAATTAGGTTAGGTGACAGAAAGAGTTTAGAGTCGAGAAAGAGAGAGCATGAGTTCTGCCAAAATACCTATTTATACTCTGAAGGCAGACTATACCCTAAAAAACTCCTTTTGAAATGATTGACTGATTATATTACATTAGGTTACATTGAGAAAGGTGATGACATTATATTGATTAGATTACATCATGGAACAGTAACTACTCTAGTGTTAGGCAAAATCACCAGGAACCATTGCTCGGCCAAGCTGACACGTAAAATTAACCATCACAGCCCACCTATTGTCAATTTGACACCTGAACCATACATAATCTCCAAATAAAGACAACTACAAAGTCATATTTCTGCCTAACATGATACAATCAACATGCGTAAAACCAAAAACACACTAACCTCTTTTACATCTTTTATTTTATGGTAAG